AATTGGAGCGAGACAGGAGCATACACAGAATCAGCCTTTAGATCACTACAACAACATGATCTCATATTTTCCTACTAGACTGTCTTATAGATCTGACCTATATATCAGTTTATGCATATGTATGTATGCATGTTTGTGAAACACTTGCAAGACTGCACTGTTTCAAAAATCTAGGTAGTACCTCTTACTGTTTTTCTCTTTATTAAAACTGAAGAATAATGTGAAAACCCAAGTTTTATTTGGTTTAATTTTTCTAAGGATCACACAATCTGATGGACTAATACAACAACACTAGTTTTCTGTCCTTCAAAAAACATTCCATCTGAGATTTCAGTTGCGTATAACAGAAAAATAGTAGGCATAGAAGGCATCTAAATTATTTACAAGTACATTTATAAATCATCTCAACAGAACAGTTGCAGTTTATTCAACCAGCACATCTCAAATACATTTCTTAAATATACTGCATATGCCATTTCTCCAAGTCCAACTCCACTTAGGCTGCACTAAGACTGACACAACAGGAACCCTTCAGCACTCAGTCGACGCTGGTTACAAGAGATCACTGAGCATTCAGTGTGGCACATGACTTCATTAACCAAAATTCAATTCAAGTGATTGAAGTTTCACTTCAAAATGACACATATCTCCTGATAACACACTTCATACTCACTGCAGCCACAAGCTCATTTCAAACAATTTTTTGTTTAACCACAAAGCATTTGCCCATCACTTTCAAGGACTGCATCAAAACATATCACTGCATACATTTCTACTAATAAGTGAAACACTGTACTTTTGTTTCTGCTGCTCACTCTTTCCACCTTTTTTTTTTTTTTTTAAGATCAGGCCGAGAACACATGCAACAACAGAAATCCAATAATAATCTTTTTTCCTACCTTAGCTGAATTCCAGAAACACATACGGTTCATCAGAGCTCTCGATCTCTCATCCACACAAGGCATGAGTGGTTATTTCGTCCTTGTTTCTTTTGTCACTGGAGAATGGTGACATTTTGCATGTAATATACAGCATCTGATCTCACTCCTGTTGTAATATGAGATGCAGGTGATGTTAGCAAACTAAGGGATGCATGCTACTTGAACATAACAAATAGGGCATTAAACAAATGATGCAACATAACAGCTAGTATTCTGAAAACACTGAGTCTGCTAATATACTGTCTGCCCTGGTTTACAGGGTATTACAGATTCACTACCACTTTACAAGCTAATGGCATTATGAAACAACAGACTGAAACAAAGCCAGCTATTAAATAAAACTAGGACAGGTAGCCTAAAACATTCAGTGAACAATTCTCCAAGTTAAGTGTATAAGAATTTCCTTCAGACTAAAATTTGAACTCTATTTTTTATATTGTTTTGTTTGTTTGTTTCTAGTGTAATTCTCTATATAAAAATAAATAACTAAATGATAAATAAATCCTAAGGAAACTTAAGTGTGCACACTCTTACATTCACTTGCCTGACTGCTGCAGACGGAGGGTGCTAATGTTCCAAAGCATTCAATAGATGTTTTCAGAGATGAAGAAATACAAACACTGTCTTCTGCTGGCCAAAGGTGATTGGTAATACTGTGGCCAGCTCTGTTAGGCTAGTTATAGCTTAGAATATGGTAGGAGTTAGAGCTGTAGAGCTGTATTCACTGAACACATTTGAATTTTGTCAACTTATTTTTGTCTTTTGTATATACCAAGGCACACTGAGAAGATGGAATAACTTAGGGATGCAAAGTAACATCTGAAAGGTTGTCACTGATAAACAGTTCAGTTATGCCACAAATATTTATATAACTGCATTTGTAACACTTTAATATCACTTGAACTCTAAAAGTGACTGTTCAGAGGGTCTGATTACACTGTGTCTTCTAAATTGAACTTGCTGTGAGTGGCTGCCAAACAACAGACAGATCCATTTGTGAATGGTATCTACGCCACACACAAGAGATCAGTGGATCTCAGACTATATTTTACAGAGAAGGCATGGTTTATACATTCGCATTTAAACTCCAGGCTGGACTCCCAGATCACAGGTACATAGAGCAGAAATCATTCAACACAGTGAGTTTCTTCATAAGCTGCCACAAGGCAGACAGCAAAAGAATATTCTCCCCTCTTTTAATGTAAAGCAATAAAAGAAAATAAATCAATTTCTGGTTTGGATTCAGAATTCCTTTACTTTTCCCAGCCTTCTGGAAGGAAAAACATCTCAGTAGATCAAAATGTTTTTCCTAGGTTGAAATACTCTTAGACTTTCTTCCCTATAACTCGCACACTCACTGAAAGCACTGGTGAGATGGAGGAAAGGAGGCAGAGTGCAGAGCTAACTGGGTAGAGCTGATTATAGGTTTGTTTGTGGTTTTTTTTTTTCTTTTTGGCGGGAAATACAAATTGAGTTGGTGAATCTAGCAGTATAAACAAGTGACAAAATAGTCTTATTTCTTCAGACTCTGAGAATAATTTATATAATTGCATATTATGTCATCAGCTCCATAAAATGACATTGTTACGCACTGCAAATAGCTCTAAGTTAAAATAAACTACAGTAAGATGTCTTTGAAGAATAATGGCATTGGTACACATTGATGCAAATGCAGAATATTAAAGGTCACAAGTTAAAACACAGACCAGAAATCTATATTATTGTAACAGAACCACAAGTTTTGCTGCAGAACACATAAAATGCTTTGAAAATACTATGTCTGTTTAAACACATTTAAACATTTAAATGTGTTAAAAACATTTAAACGCAACAACAAAATCATCCAGAATACATTTATTAACTTACCGTATTTATTCCTCTTTCTGATTTTGAATTAGAACTTGCTGGCATGAAGGATCCATCAAAATTTTGAAAATCTTACAGACAAAAAGAATTACAAATATCTTTTGTGTTTGCTGTTATTATCATGTTAAAGATTTGTACCAGCTTCTGGCTGTACATCTGATCAGACTGGAAAGCAAAGGAAGGAGTTTGCTGCTGTTCCCAACATTAGAGATGGAACTTTCTCAATGTTAACTGTAATAGAAAAATAAAGAGAACAAATTTAATGTCATGATCTGGAGAAAACCAGGCAATAAAAAGAAAACACAGCCTTCTAAAATAACAGTGGCACTTGTTTTTTCGGGAGGATTCCTAACTCTTCATATCGGTCTGCGTTATACAGCTCACTGTGGAGGAGTCAATATTTAATTAATGATGATTTTTTTTGTTGTGTTGCAACAACAGTTAACAAAGCAAAATGAACATATGAACACATACACACAAAAAAAATCAACAATTACCTTTAAACCAAAATATTTCAATTTCTCACTTCTCAAAATCACCTGAAGGGAATATTTGTCAATTGAAGATTTTTACTCAAAGGAAAAAGTTTGAGGTTTTTTATGTTTATTTTTGTTTATTTGCATAAGAAAGGTGTGACTGAGTAGAAATATACAAAGGTAAGTCTGCATTGCATATAAATTCCATTATACAGTTCAACACCATGAATTCACCGAGATCATATTACCTTCTGCATGAAACACAAGCACCTCATGGAAAGAACAGGGCAGTTCCTAGCTGGGCCAGGTGCTGGTTCTGTAGGTGCTCAGGCAGATTTGTAACCACCTTAGTTCCACAATGGAAGATCCTTGTCTTCTTACATAACTACAGCTATGAGGTGGAACTGGGCTGCTGCGCCTATCTTTTCCATGAAGCACTGAAAGCATTAAGAAGATCAGTACTCCAGTCAGTTAGCTGCTGCTATTGAATAAACACATGATTACTACTAATACATATAAGGTAATTTTCCCAGCAGCAAAATAAGTAACTTATCATTTTCATCCACCGACTTTCAGTAACTAGCTAAGATTCTCAAATAAAATTATTAATCCTAAACATTTAGAATTGCAGACCTCTGGCAACAAAATACGAAACAACAACATTTTAAAAATGATCCTTCTTTTTCTTCTTTTTGCAAGGTGATTCTCTTCTTAGTGTTTCTTTAGTGTAGACACTTAAAAACTGTTTAGAAAAAATTTGAACTCATTTTTTTTTTTTTTTTTTTTTTTTTTTTTTTTTCTTATTTTCTTCTGCTATTCCCTGTGCTTTAGTTTGCACTGACTACAGGGAAGAAAAAATGTAAAGGAAGAAAAATATTTTAAAAATCTGCTTATTTTTATGTGATTTAATTCTTGATTTTATTTTTGTCAAAAAGGCAAAACAAAAAAAGAGAAGTCTCCTTTGTGATGTCCTCCTATCCCAGCCACATTAATCATCTTTGCAGATTATTAATAACATAGTTAAATTAAAAACCTCAAATACATTATCAGACATCTCAGTATTTGATATTGATTCTGCTGTCTGAACAGGTTAACTACATGATTTTTTTATAATAACTGCAAGAATAAATTAAATTTCTCTGGACTTACAAGTCTGAAAATAAAATAACATAACACAAAAATAACATTCTCAAATAAGTTGAGAAGTATTTTTCAGTCAGCCTGGTAATAACTACTTCTATTGTATTAATCTTAGATGTGTACAACATATTTGATTTATAAGGAAAAGCATTTATATAGAACTATCAAAGACTCCAATTTTCATATAACTCACAAGTACCAAAAAGGGAAGAAAGAGGACTTTGTATATTTTCACACACAGATCGGAGATGCAAAGTAGTAAATCTTTATAATCGCACTTCTTTAAAGTCTGCAGGAATCCTAAACAATCAGAATCAATTAAGTATATGCATTTTAAATACACAAGTCGAATGGAACAAAATAGTGAAGTGTTACTGAATAATTTTAACTTGTGAAGTATTAGCCATGCAGTTTGTCTTCAGAACTAATATTCTGAAAAACGACTAAAACACAGGAAAAAAAATTCTACATTTAATTGAAGTTAAAAAGAACAGAGACTTTATAACTTTACACAGTAGAGATTATAACATAACACAAGATTACATAACACATACATGTAGTGTTACAACTTTCTCTCACACACCAGCATGACATCTATGCAACTTGTTCCACACTGAAGTGGTATGTTAAGGAGCAACATAATATTAACTGTTCCTCACATGCAATTCTCTTTCAGAACTCTCTTCATTTGAATTTATCTCAGTAGGTAAATGCCATGGATTATTTTACACACTTACAATACAGTCTGGCAGACTACACCTATTGCCTAACTAAGTCTTATTCCTTTTAAATATCTAGAGGACATGGTTCTAATTTCAAATTTGCAGATTCAGCTAAAGATCACACCATTGCCAGCAGAAACCTTGCAGGTAACTCATTAAAGCCAAACTGGTCACATGTAGCTCAGGAAAGATCTATTGCTATTTCTGTGCTGGTGCTGTGGTGGTTGAAAAATCTATCACAAAAGACAGATCTGAGAAGAGAGATTAAAAAAAAAAAAATCATGCTGTTCATTCAGTTGTTGCCACTGCAGTTCAGAAAACCTGAACTCTCTTCCCATAAAAACTAGAACCAAGGTGTTTCAACACTAGTTCATTTTATAAAACATTGTCTAAAATAAATACGAAAAATTGGCCAGTGACAGTCTTAATATTAACTGCTGATATCTCAGGATTTTCAAATCCAATCACTCTGAAGTTACATTTTTTCTACTCTTGTAAATAACAATTTCTTAGTTATCTAAATGTGATATAAAGAAGACCTGCAGCAATTCTTTTCCAGAATTTTACTCCAGTAAACAACTCAATGTGATATTTGGGAGAATTTCATTTTGTTACCTAGGTTTATTTCTCCCATGGCTCATTAACAAGATTAACAAAACAAAGGTAGTTAAATGGGATGAAGAAAACAAGGGCATCTGATTTAGCAGTAGGAAAGACTGGGAACTAGCTGTTCACCAGAAAATCAAATACATATTAACCAGACAGCTGGAGCTGCTCAAGCCACTCACTCAGGAAGTCTTTCCACTTACCTTGCCAGTTACAGTGATGAGTATGAATATAATAGTTGAACTACATTGTTTATTTTTTTTTTTTTACTTCTGTCATGTTACACACAACCACAAGCATTTCTGTCATTGTCTAGAACCTAAGTTGACAGATTTCCACAGTTTCTATGTCCATACATCCTGACATCTCAAGAATCAATTCAAGTTAATCAGTTCCATCTAGTAATAAGAAAGCTGTAAATAAAGTGAGATAAAGTCATGTCACAATAAAATGCGGCATTATAAGAATTGAATAAAATATGCCTGAATAGAATCAGCAATCAATCACATAGACAAATTCTGTCTGGCTTCCACTTTAAGATTTGTAATGGAGCGTGAAGCTTAGATATAGAAATGGTTGCAGACAGCCAGGGGTTGAAATGTACAAGCTTTCCAGGCAGCATCACTAATATCTAGGTTTCTAAGGCAGGAGTTGAGAAAGCAAAATTTATTTAGAGCTGGTTGGATTTTTTAGTTTGTTTCTTTTAAATTGTCTCTTCAACTTCTTATTTTCAACTTCTTATTTTCCTTCAAGTGATTGCCTTTTTTTCTGTACTGCTACCATATAAAAAAGTGAGAAAAATAACATGCGAACACAGTTGTTTCTCCTGACTATGCCTACTAGTCAGGTGAGAAGTCTGGAGTATGTACACATACAAGTGGAACACTTTGGAACATGAGATCCATTCTTCTCACACATCATAATTAGCTGTCAGTTTCACCATGGACATTTTCCATGTGCACTTTGAGGTAGTCATTTCTTGTAAACTTCTTGTGGCAAAGCTGGCATTCTGCCATTGGTCGATTGGGGTTGTGAGTCAGCTTATGTCGAATCAGCATTTTCTTCAGGCTGAAGGACAAATCACAAACCTAGGCCAGAGAAGACAATACAAAGACAACAACAGAGATCTTAAAACTTTAAATATGTATAATTTTACATCACTGACTTCACAGCTATGCATGCCTGCAAGACTTAATAAATGAGTTTGTCTTCAAAAGAATAACACTTCAGAGAACACTTCTAAGATTATTACTCTGTCTTTCAATGCTGTACCTTAACAATCTGCAACACATGGAGGTATTTCAGTAACATTACTTTTTGAAAACCTATTTTTCTCTCTCAACACAACAAAAATTTAGACAAAAATCTCACAAGCATCTGTCAATTTAACGTCAAGGGAAATGCTTTCTTTCTGATCAGCAGAATGAGATCTGTGGGATCATAAAAATCAGTTCAAATTGCTCAGTTATGAGGAGGCAGAAATGAGAAAGAGGGGGTTCTCAGTACTGCAACAAAGCTTAATAACAATAAAAGAGGAAACCCAACTGTCATGGTGTTCTTTTGCCTGGCCAAGGAAAAAGATAATAGTTGCAAATTAAAGTGCATTTCCTTTGCTTTATAACCGGCTGTTTCTTCCCTTCCTCCTCTGCACTCCATGCTTTCAAGTCCACTCTGCTATTTGAATAGACAGATGGATAAGGGACTCTGCTATGCTAAAACAATCGTTTCTTACACAAATTTCTGTATTGCAGTTAAAATGAAAGGTTAACAATAAGTTCAGCTAGGAGAAGTTAGAAAAGAAAGAAAAGTAAGAATCTGTAGGCAAGACATCAAGTTACTTGATATCATGCAGTTAATGCTGTCACATTCAACTTCCATCCAAGTATATACTGTAGGCATGAATTTCCCAGAAAAAAATATTTTCAGAATGTATGCTCCTGATTTGACAAATGAAACAGTCAGTGATCATATCAGTAGATGAACATGTACAGGCTTGCAATCTTGGAATTCCAGACAAAAACAAGTCTTGTGCAGAGGAAACTCAAGAGAATCCTGCAGAATCTCTCTGATGTAAAACAGAATTTTAAATTTATATTGGTATCAAACTAGTAATGAAAGTGCTGGATGGCTCTTTTTAAAAGAAGTATACAAACAGAATTGACTATACAAACAGATAATTGTGACTTGCAGAATACATATACTTTTGGTATACTGATAGACAGTCAGATGAATATGAGCCAGCAGTGTGACCAGGTGGCCAGGAATGCCAGTGTCATCCTGGCTTGTATCAGGAATGGTGTGGTGAATAGGACTAGGGAAGTAATCCTGCCCCTGTACTGAGCACTAGTGAGGCACCACCTCAAGTACTATCTTCAGTTTTGGACACCTCAGTACAGAGAGGACACTGATATGATGGAGTAGGTCCAGAGAAGGGCAACAAGGCTTGTGAAGGGCTTGGAGAATATGCCCTATGAGGAGAGACTGAAGGAACAAGGGCTGTTCAGTCTAGGGAAAAGGAGGCTGAGGGGAGACCTTATTGCCTTCTTCCAATATCTGAAAGGTGCTTACAGCGAGAGCGGGGTTGGTCTCTTCTCACTGGTGACAGGTGACAGGATGACGGGAAATGGCTTGAAGTTGCACCAGGGTAAGGTTAGGTTGGGTACCAGGAAAAACTTTTTTACAGAAAGGGTTGTTCAGCACTGGAATAGGCTCCCCAGGGAGGTGGTTGAGTCACCATCCCCGGATGTGTTTAAAAGCCATTTGGATGTGGTGCTCAGGGACATGATTTAGCAGAGGGTTGTTAGAGTTAGGGCAGTATGGTCAGGTTGAGGTTGGACTCAATGATCTTTAAGGTCTTTTCCAACCTGAACAATTCTACGATTCTATAAATGCCAGCTAAGGCAAAACCATACAATGACCATAAAAAAGGCAACAGCCTGAGGCAAGTTTTGTACCAAAAATATTTTTCCCCAGACAAGAACATTGTATGTGCTATTGCGATGGAACACTTCTGAATTTATGACATGATGTAACAGAGAGAACTATTATACAGCAACTGTAACTCTCCAACTTTTTTTCCCTAAGCATATAATTACCTCTTTCAGCCCCAAGCAACAGTCACTCTTTGTTAAGGGATGATGAATGTTACTTACAGAATTCACTGGTTGGGTCTTAATACTTCTTTTGTCAAGTACCATTTTCTATTTCTCTTCCACAGAGAAACTCATGTACCTAATCACTACCATCACACTTGCCCTCACGTTTGAATGTGTTAGAAGTGTCATGTCTTTGTAAACACACATTTACTGGAAGCTAGGAAGTCAATCATGGATATACACACACAAGCTGCATGTATTCTGTGCATCTTACATACACCTCACAATTTAATAAACAAAAACAAACAAACAAAAAAAAAAAAACAATGAGAATATAGTAACAGCTAGAGTTCAAGATGCCAGATTCAGCTTCCACTAAGCTAACTTCCAAAAATTTCAGCATGAAATTGCATATTGTATTTACAAAAAGAGAAGACAGACAGTTTGCAGAAACACTCCAAGGTAGAAGGAGAATCTGTAGTATCCACTTTGAATATGACACAATATGTGTCATATATGTGTCATAATATGACACAAAAATGTCAGAACATAGAACCACAGAACAAAAAAAAAAAAACAGCCTAAGAGCCATTCAGACCAGCATTAACCTTCCTCCAAAAGTTTTCAATAGCAAAAAAGGCTAAGGAGCAGGGCAAATATAACATAAACCTCTTTATGATGCAGTAGGCCAATCAGCTTTAGAGATTTCCTCAGTAGTTCTTAGTATTAAAAATAAACTATTCTTATGAGTATTATTAAAGATAAATCTCTTGATTTTTAAGATGAACTGCTTATAGCACAGTCTCATGGTAATTTTTTTCATTTATAATGCTCACTAAACAACTGGATCTAGAACCACATGTCCTGCTGTTGCTTTAAGGCTCTAGGATATTTTACTATCAGACTTCTTCAAAAAGAAAACAGGGAATGCATTACCAAAGTGACATATCTTGTGCTTACTCATTAACAAGCATACAAATATCTTGTTTTAGGAGTTTGCTTCATATTTCAGTTTTACAAGCAAGGCTGACATTTTACAGATGTACAACCATCTCGCTTATTTACACTGGTATTCAAATCATTCTCTCCAAAATGATAAAAGTTTTGATTGAATAGGGAGGATGGAGACAACTGACGTGTAAAAATAAGTGCAGAGTCAACTAAAGATGGAGTGGTGGGAAATACTGCACTGGAAATAAACCAGGATAAGTAGCGCTTGATCCTTCTGTCCCAAAAGAATAATATCTTGTCTCTGAGGAAACTGAAGTTCAACTGGCCTTCCAGTTAAAAACAGGCAAGTCTTCAGAGGACAGAAAGCCAGTATACTAGGATAAACATATTTTGTGTTTCTGTATTTCAATTTTCATTTTCCCTTGTGAAATATTAGAAGTTTAAAATAGTAATATTCAATTTCCACTATTATCAATGGAAAGTGAAGTCTTTGATTGATTAAAAGATCTAAAATTGCTTTTGATGACTGATAATACACAGAAATGACCATGTAAAGAAAGTGCGGCACCTTCATATGGGCTATATGGATTACTTTTACATGTAGCACAAGCCTGTATTACATGAAACAGGAAAGCACCGTAAACACTTGGGCAACTGAATATTGTATGAATGAGCAGTAGTGGCAACTGCTGCGCATGTTATAACCCTGAAAACTCAGCAATCTCTGTAGTGTGTTGTTGGCCAAACATGCATGCTGAAGAATGATTTTAGTGAAACATGACTGTAATTGAAAGCATTAAAAAAATCTGCAATAAGTGAAGGTACATAAGACTAATTCAATCAGTGCTAGAATCACAAAACAAAGAAGCTGCACTCATTTTCTTCCCTGAACTGATACCCTCACTAAATCTTTGAACAACAATTTTCAATCCCGTATTTGGTAATTCTGAATGTCATTTCTTTCCAATTGTTTCTGCACAATCAACCTTTCCACACATCCTGGAAGTGATGAGACACATCATATAGGATGGGACATACTGTAATTGACTGTGATCTATGAGCTGTAATACAGTATTCTGCAATTCAAAATTGCAAACATACACAGCATCAGTGATTTCTTCATTGTTCAAAGAAAACACATGGATAGTTATTGAAAATAACACACCAGATTTCATTAAACAAAAATAAGAAATTCTAAATTTATACTTGTGTTACTGAACAACATCAGAAGCATTCAGATTCCATGTAATGTCTTTAATAACTTTTTCTGTATAAGCTGCTCTCTCCAACTATTAACCTGTCAAACAATCAAAGGGAAACCCAACTAGCATGAATTTGTAACTTGCAATACCTAAATCGCATTAAGAACAGTGAAAATAGCACTTTTGGGAGTCAAAACCATTAAAAAAGTGAGTGCAATGCTCTTGGCAACAGCAGAGAATATGTAAAATTCACCAGAATGGTCTTTCATGAGTTAGGCAAAGACCCTATTACGGGTAACTTTATGCCACAGCTAATGGATGCAAGGCCATATTCTCACCGAAGATAAGCCTTGCTCCTGCACTGAAATCGAGAAAACAAAGGGATAGATCAACTCACATCACACTGAAACGGCTTCTCTCCGGTGTGGGTTCTCATGTGCTCATCTAGGCCTCGTTTTTGACTGAAAGCCTTGTTACATTCAGAACATTGGTATGGCTTTTCCTGTATGAAATGACAACAGTGAGTGAAAGTGAGTCAACACAGAGCCCAAGTCATTAAAGGAGTGGAATTCCATGCTGGATGATGGTGCAAGTTTTATATTTTCTCTAAGGGATTACAGTCAGTGAAAACAACAGAAAATGACTTTCAGATGATTAAGTGAAAGCTGGGAAAGCTGTGGCCTGACAGTTTCCACTTCAACACCCACTTATGAATTAATTATCTGTTCCAGTCTTTCAAACCCAGCCATTTTGGAAATCTGTTTTTTGTAACATGAAAGGTATGAAAACATAAAATTTCAATGTGTTTTCCTTCATCCACCACAAAAGCTTAAAGAAAAAAAGACTAGTAAGATGTCTATAAAACCTCACATTCTTTACCAGGTTTCCAAGCAAGGAAAGAAATGAAGGGAAGAACTGGGGATACCAGAAAAGTTTGCAGTAGAGGAAAAAAAGCTTATTTTGAATAAAGTGATGACAGAAGGTTAATAACATATTCACTGCAGAATCCCAAAAGTACAGATGGCAATCCAGCCATCTGCATTTTTTTAGAACTATTGGTTAGCAGCTACTGTAAAACACAATGTTATAAAAGTAGCAAGTTCACTGACCTCAAATACTTAAATATTAGAGGTATGTAAGGAAAATCACTTATATAGAGATTTCCTTCTTCAAATTTCTTCCGTAATACATAAATCTACATATAGGTAATTCCTCCTTTATTCCACTACATTTACAAAAGAACTGCATGGAAAACAACATCTAAATAAAGTAATTAAATATGAACATAAGCATTATGGCACTACAAATTGTTCCACTGATGACTCTGAAGGTCTAGAGGCACTTTTATTTTCAGTCAATTGTACTTCTTCTGTTTTCACCTGTGTTTTTTTTTTTCCTGTGTTCCCTAATTACATATCACTTGAAATCAAAAGACAGATGTTAAAATAACCACTAAGGATTTTCTACTAGGTAAAATTGGAAATAAAGACTGACAATCAATAGGCAATAAAAATGTTAACTCCATGAATTAACAAATTATAGTAATTAACCTTATATGGTCTTTTGGGAGATAGTGTAAGATCTATGCTAAGGGAGAAAGAACAATTCAGGTAAGGTTTTGAAGCTAAAAACTGATATTGAATTCCTATTCTGAGTATGTAGGGGAAAATAAATCTCTATATATTGCTTAATCCTGCCAGGTGCTCAGCATAAACTGTATAAATTAAACAAACAGAATATCAACCAGTGCTGCTTTGGGTAAATCCCAAGCTCTTTCTTTAGGGCAGCTCTTTGCAGTATCCAGAGTTCTTCTGCTGTAAGCTATGAGAGTGAGCTCCCCACGAAGTTCCTTAGAAAAGGTTCTGTCAAAGAAATGTCCCAGCTTGCAGTGACAGGAATCTGTATCAACACGGAAAAGTAGTTCTTTAGCAATATCAATTTTACATTTTAGCATTATGAAATTTGTAGAAGTACATTCTAGTTTGATGCAAGACAAAACTGTCTGCTGACACAGCCTGACTATATGGTGTCCAGCTGCACATCATTAAATAGGCCTAATAGAAGCCCTTAACAAAGTTTTCTTTATAAGATTCTCCTTTGTAAGAGATTCTTCTTTGTGTTTTTTTCAACAACTTAATTTTGTAATTTCCATAACACTGTAGTGTATAGTAAAACATAAATTACTTATAAATGATCTGATCTTAAATTGCCATCTAGACTAAAAACTTTTAATGAAAAATTTCCCTGGACTGCCTGAAGACTTCATGAAACATTATTTTTTAAGGCAATACATGGATAAGCCATATGAAAAGCAGGTTACTGCAACACTTTAATTGGCTCAGCATTGTGGTTAATATAAAGCATATTTTCTGTGAATTCTCAGAAAACAACCTTTCTTTGCATGGGTTGTAAAGAAAGGTTTCTTTGCATGGGAAAATGTAAAATATGTGATGTGTATACGTAAAACACCTCTGAAAAAATTCAATTATTGCAAACACTGTCAGGTGCATTTGCTTCCTTTTTATCATCTTGTTCTAAAGGAAACTGAAGGGTAAAACTTGATTATGATTAACTTCACCATTTCAGATCCAAATGGGCTTCAGAGTTGCCCAGGTTCCATTCCAGAGAGAAAACCAATATGAACACCAGGAAGTTAGTCACAAGCCTGGGCAGAAATATTGCCCCTGAGGTTATATGCATTTATTTGCATGATCTGCATAATTCCCTACTGCGGGGGGGGGGATGAGGGAGGGGGAAAGGCAAAAAGGCATATCTATTCATTCTCTTGGTATTTACATTCAAATTCACATATGTAGTGTATGAAATGATATCCAAAGCAGTCTTTGATCTTATTTTTAGATCCCTTACATCTGTATATATCATTGACTTCAGCAGTCACAGTTTTGATTCACATTAGCCTGCTCTCTCCATTAAGCTGTCCTTCATTCATAACTATGTCCATTAAAAAAAGCATAAGATAAATTATAATAAAAAGCTGTGTTATCCAGTTATATATATACACACATATATATGTATGTATGTATGTATTTAAAAACACAGCAAGAAGTCTGAAGAAATTGAAATGCCACCACAAAAGGACAACATTGACAATTATGAGATTTGAATAAAGTTGGAAAAGGGAATAACCAGCTAACTGTCAACAAAACAGGAAGTCAGTGAAAAGATCATATAAGTTTGGCTTCAGAAGAGTTAGCAGCTGATAGTAGAATAACTCTACCCTCAGTTCTAAAGGCATCTGCCAGCCCATGGTTATGGTGGCAGCACAGCCAAAGGACTACATGTGTTTCCTTTTATTGATGATTCAAGTGAGGAAGGGAGCTGGGAGATCAAGAGAGACAAGATTTGGCTGATACGTAAGTGATTTAATATTACTCTTTTAAGTATACCATATTACTCTTTTAAGTATACCAGGTCTAAATAGAAATATATAGATGGGGATTTATAACGCCTCTGCCTCTAAACACAGAAAGGCAAGAAAGGTCTAGGAGAGCCTAAATGAGACTTGCCATTCTGGAAAGTGTTTCTCTGTAAAAATGGTACTCTAACATAGAAGCACCCATCTTTGATGGTTTTCAGTTTATCAAATAAAAAATAAATAAATAAATAAAATAAAAAGGGAGAGAGGAATTTTAACAACCATGATAAATAAAACAGAATCTTCTCTTCAGTGCACACCTTCTCTGCCTTTGGACGGCAGAATCATAAATAACTACCTTGGATTCAACACAAAGTGTGCATTGCACTGAAAAAAAATGAGAACAGGACAAATTTTAAAGGCCATTTGATGCCAGCCTCAACAGATTGGTGGAACATGTGTACAGTGTATCCTGCAACAACAGCAGATGGAAATACATGCATAGTATCTGAACTGCTAACTGCTGCTGTAGTTGTCTGTTGATGCAGTTGTTGCTGTGTAAACTTGCTAAAATTGATTGCAAAGGAAAAGCATTAATGATTTTGGTATGACCCTTTCCAAGCAACCTTTTAAATCTGACCCTGGAACTATCACATGGGTTCATCACCAGCAACAAGAAAAAACACAATCCAGAAGACAGTACTTCCAAATAAAATACAACTCAAGATTCAAAGTTAAGAGTGTAAAGAATTAAGAGTGTAAAGAGTTAAGAATAGTTCTGGCAACCCTTTCAAATATGGCAAGCGCAAGCTAAAACTGGGATAAACCCATACTCAAGAGATCCTATTCTTCACTTTTTTGAGTAATTTTCTACAGTGATTGCAGAGTTATACTACTCAAAGTGAACTTGTTGACTACAGAAACGTTACTCAATAATCTTTTTCAGAGCTTAGAACTGTAACTGACATACAGAGCATGCTTAACATACCACTGCTATCCAGAACTGTGCTCATTTTTTAAATCTCCTGAATTCAGCTGATTTACTTCCTATCAAAAATCCACATATTGCTCATTTCTTTTTGTAGATCATGTTCATACATCAAACCATTCATGAGAGTTACTAGAATGTCAGGGTGAAATACACTGATCATCTTAAGTGTTACATGACAATCTATGAGCCGGATGTGAATTTTCTTTGTGCTGACAACTGAACACTCAGGGAAGCCAAGAGAAACATGGAAAAACATATTACATCTTATATTACTTAAATAATAGTAAAAGATAGTAAAAGAATTTTTTTTTCCTCTGGAAACATTTTAAATTCTTATCTCTATAACACACTAGTCTAGAGGCAAACATGACATATTTGGGGAAAATGAACAATAAGGTTGCTACCTGTTATCATATTACACAAACAAATCTTCTTGGTAAAGCCAGAATAATTTTGAAAAGATCTCAATCCAAGTTCCTTAGTAAACAGCAAATCCAGAACTTTAAGGGGTGTCATTTACTCTTACTAAAGGAAACATAAGAGCTAAAATAATGAAGTGTTGTTGAAAATATTAGCAAGAATGGAAAAATGTGGACTAGAACAAACAAACACGATCACTCAGAAAACATTAAAGCATATCAGCCAGGCTTGCAGCTATGAACTGACATCTCAACTAGCATCCCTGGAAATCCAGAAGCTCAGTCACTCTGAACAACATAGGAAAAGCAGTGGTGTAACCTACTGTAGAATTTAGGACAGACATACACTGACTTCTGCAAGCGTTATTTAAAGGTCATCTTAAGCATTCAGAGAAGTTTAAGACATAAATGTTTTATATTTCACATGCACCGTTTCTTTGTATGCTTTAAATCTTTTGCTAACACCTGTTACAGCCTATTTTATTCATTACTGATTATAAATGCTGATGTGTCCCTCAAACTACAGTCAGAAGCTCTTTGGCCAACTGGAGATGACATCTACTAAAAAAGGTGACCAGAACAGGTACCATTTTGGTCAACAGTCCCATCTGAAAGGGAGCTGAAGACACAGAACTACAAGAGCCTGGAAGGAGTTCAACCTGAGGTAGCCTACACAGGGTTCATGATGCATACCTGTAAACTACTAAAACTGCAAG